CTTATTTCACTTGAACACTATTAGCTTTTTTTCGGTGTGAACTTTTTTTTCACTGCCATGACTGCGTTAAGCCCTGCTTTTTGCCTATGATTTTTAAACATCCTTAAGTAAAACATTCTTCTCAAAGGAAGTGCATACCATATTACCTCAAACTGAATGAAAACTGCTGGCTAGATTAATAAGAAGCAAACGAAAAGCAATAGCAGATAAAGAAATGCAAGTGTACCTGGTCCATATACGATTTTCAAAACAGTGTGATGCAAGCAGATTATACTAGCAATTGGATAAAAAAGTAAATTTAATGAACTGCAGGTGGTCATTCACTTTTCTGAATATAGATAATTTTTAACAAAAATTTTCAGATGATTCATTCATTCCCTGTGCAGTTTTTCTTTGTCACAGAAAAAATTTGACAATTTAAGCTAATAGGAAGTACCAGAGATGGCCACTTTGATTTGGCATAGTTTGATAAATATAAATGCTACTACTACTGGTAATTCATGGTAAAACCACTTGATGTATTTCTCAAGCATCTGTAAGAAAAATGAACTTAAAATTTTCCATGTTGTTTATGTAAGGTTAAATAAGTACAATAGAACATCTATATTCGTCATTAATCTGTTCCCAAGGACCTAACAAATATGGAATATGACAAATATAGAAACAATTTTTCTGATAATAAATAATTTACATTCTATTAATCCGTTCCCATCCTGAAAAATAGGTACAAGAATAAAAATCATGTTTTTTTTGTCAATGTCCCTTTATTACCTAAAAATCAATTAAATTTCCCTAAGAACCTAGAGTGGAAACAACTTGAAAGAGGGAGAAATTTCAACCTCCCCATTTTTCCAAGGTAAACAGTTGCCCATCTCGACAACTATTCCCACACTACGAACTTAAAAGTTGATAGTAAACATACAATTGCGTCATTTTATTTGGGTTCCGGGGACAACTCTGACCTCCCCGCACACCTTTTACCTCACAACTAATTAGTCACATGACAGTTTTCCCACTGCAAAACGATAAAAGACATTTCTCTCCCCACTCCGGGGAGTTACTCATCGACGGTAGTAGTACCACATACTCTAGGATTTACCTTTAATTTATGCCCTACGTTTGTACTCTAGGATATCCACATCTAGAAAGAGGTATGGAACCCACTTCTGTGAACTCTCTCGGCCCCTTCGTGCTTTACGGACTCAGATTTTTCACTTGGAATTCCGCAATGGTAGATTATTGTATAATCTAGGTAGTTAATCAATAAATCGTTGTTTCTTTGTTAACTTGGTTTCCTCTTTTACTTGTATATCATCTGTCGCCTCTCCAACAGCACTCCTCCCTCCTACACTCAACCCGGAAAATTTGTCCTGTTCTCTCGGGATAAATAAAAGAAAAATTAAGCCATCTCTGACTAGTGGCTTTCGAGTCCCTCCGACTTGAAATCCGATCCACGGAGGTACAACGTAGTCATACCTCCTTTGTTCTCACATTAAAGATATAGTGGTAGAAGAGGAAGAACAGTACCAGAAGAAGACATATCAATTAAAACATTAGGCAATTCCAATTATGATCTTTTTTGCCGATGATTCAGTAGCACTCGATTTAATAAAGAACTTGTCCGGTGTTATATGTTTTTGTCTGCTTTTTAAAACTTTTTTGAAGTAGGCAATTACATTATCATTGAATGTAATTGTATTGTACTATAGCAACATTTCGGTGCCACTTTCGAGCGATTGGAACTTTGTTTCTCGCATTCATTATTTTTCAATAACTCAACAACACATGACAACCGCACAAAGCAGACTGATTAACTATTGTTAGCTAACACTGCTAGCTGATTGGTGCAAGCATGTGATTGTAGTACCACTTCCAGTGTTGGGAATGACGTGAATATGGAAAAATAAAAAAGTCATCAAAATGTGACGAATATTGAATATTACGAATATAGAGCTTCTACTATATTGTGTTAACAGTAGCATAATTGAGTGGATAAGGTATTTGACAAATATAGCAGGGGTGCACAACCTGCGGCCCGCGGGCCACATACGGCCCCCTATCAATGTTTATGCGGCCCGCGGTCTCTTCTTTCGAAGTTTCTAAGTGTAAAACTTTTTCCCTTTTACAAAGTCATTAGCATCCAACTGTTTTATGACTTTCCCTGAGGTGAGAAATGGGGGATTGTTCTATAAATAAGTCTATTTCTATCTAACACTTTCTGGTTTAGATATCGAATATTTTAAAATGATGTTAGAACGTCATTTCCGATGTTATCCGGAAGTTTCTATTTTGGTGGAAAATCTTCAATTTTATGCTTCGGAAAACTTGCCTATTCGTCTAAATAGCGTCAAATAACAAAAATAAGTGAAAATAGCGCTGAAAAACCATGAAAATAACGATTTTTTAGCATTTGTTTACATTCTAGATTCTGATTGGTATAGTCGAATTTGAATCAATCTTTTCTGAAAAGACGCTTATTCGTCAACCTAATGTCATTCAAACTAGAAAAAAACTAACCAGAGTTCAAAAAGGAATGTACAAAAAGCTATAAAACCAATAATTTACAACAATATCTCTCCATAGACAAAGAATAGAAAAAAAATTTTTCACATCAAATTTATTATTATTAAGTTGGACCAAGAAAATTAATACTGTAGTTGGAATAGAGTCATTACGACTAAAAGGAAGCCATTTGCATTAAAATATTTTGGATTTAATAATTATTACAAACCGCGTCAAGCCATAAACTTGTCAACAAAGAGGGTTGTAAAATGATTCCGTGTAGCTAGAAAGCTGCGGTTTTTTTTGTTTGAAAGAAAACAGATATATTTAGGTTATTTAAGTAGTAAATTAATTGGAACTTTTTATTTACTTTTATTTTTACATTCTTTTTTTCGTAAATTTAAAATTAAATTATTATTTTTAATTTTTATTTTATTTGAAATTTAACAATCGTAAACTGTGATATATTTAGGAAAAAAAAAAAAACAGATTGATTCTAGCGCCAATTTGAAACGAGATATCGCAATTTTAATAATTATATTTAAAATATTCAGATTTTCCACTGCACTGTGTTAATCACTTTTGATTCATTTCTGAACACGGGGGTAAAACTGACGGGCCATAAATATAATTTAGGTAAGAATGGTAACCACATTTATGATGGATTAGTGTCCTGCACCTGGCATGTTGACGATCTGACTCACAAATTCTGAGAAATGGTGGAGACGCCCGGACAGGGGTCGAACGAATTAAGACCTGCCTGGCCACGTGTGCGTAATAGTCTTCTGTCCCCGCCTCTTTAGTCTTTGGTCAGAGTGGATACAGAACAAAGCACGTGGTAGTCTAGCTTGCCTTATCTCAAACATGATTTGTTGCGGGCCTCAGAATTTTCGGCACAATGAGACATTGTTTTGCAGAGTGAACAGTATGGCGCCGGGCATTAAACGCAAGGTCAATCGCGAGAATCATCAGTTTCAAGAAGTGGAAGTGTGGACTAACAAGTACTGTTTTGTGCAACAGAACAACAGCATTATTTGCCTTTTGTGCAATGGAACAATAGCAGTGCCAAAAGAATTCAACCTGAAGCGACATCATGAAAGCCAACACAAGGATTTCCTTCTGCAAGGTACGGAACGCAAACGGAAAATCGAATCGTTACGACGATCACTAATCAGCCAACAAAATGTGTTCAAGAAACAATCTGGAGAATTGGATGCGGCTGTTGAAGCCAGCCTAGAAATATCTGCTTTAATAGCCAAGAATGGGAAACCTTTCACAGATGGCGATATGATAAGAAAGTGTCTTATCATCGCAAGTGAGATGTGTCCTGAGAAGACAGTGTTTTCAAACAATCAGTCTTAACCACATGATGATACAACAAAGAATCTCGCAAATTGCATCAGACATCACATTAATCACTTGGAGGTCCGGCCCCCAGTCAGTAAACTTAATCCTAATTTGGCCCTTCTTCAGAAAAGGTTGTGCTTCCCTGAATATACTGTATGTTACAAATTTGAATCATACTTTTTAAAGACTTTCTCTAATACGTGTTGAAATGAATTATTGGGGCAATGAATTTATTCATTATTAATTTTGTATAATTACAAATATCAAGTTTTGTAATTATCTATCTATATAACCCATTAAACGCATGTCCGTCTGTTCGCATAACGGTATGCCAAAAACGGACACTAGAGACGCCCCAGCGATGATTTTAAATTAACAATAAATTCTTTTTATTCGTAATAGGAATTTATTAGTGATATGAATTTATTGTTTATACCACGGAATGGTACAAATGATTATTATGTGCCTCAATTAACCTCGCGCCACATGTTTATAACATCCTGTGACTCTCAAGTCAGTGAACATCTCACATTGACTCACGGGAAATTTGTTGAAAAAATGGCGGCTACATTTAAAATCAAGGTTTACAACCGAAGGTAAATAAACAAATTAAACCATTTTAAAGTTTTATAGAATGTTTAATAGATAGAAATATAGATCTGCATGACACGATTGGGACTTTAACAGAGATGTAGAACATATTGATAGGAACAAAAAGTTAAAGGAACCGTGCCTTGTGGGGAATTTGTAAAGAACGCCCACTAGGGGGTGTCCCGGGCTACTAGTAACACAGATTTAATGTGCAACAAAAACAATAGAAATTTTTTACTTTTTATAATGTTGTATTATATCAGCAACAGATGTCAAGTATATAGAAAGTTCCTTTTTTGTCTTGAATTATTGGTGTATCAAGTTGGAATAGGAATGTATTGTTTTTATTTAGGTTTTGATCATCATTGACAAGTGAAGAGAAGTGATGTAACTGATGAGTTTATAGATTCTTAAATTTTGAATTATATTCAAAAATTAATAGATTTTTTTTTTATTTAACTTTTTGTATACTACATCCATTGTATATTAATAATAAATTGTAAATGAATTCACCTTAAAATAACAGTAAATATATTTTATGTAAAAAAATGTATTTCTAGTGAAAAGACATCACTTGTTAAAAGGGAAAAGAACAGAAGTGAAGAAGGCTTTATCAAAACAAGAAATGGAAAATATTAAAAGGAACAAAGAAATGAAACAAGGACGAGGATCATCTGGTAAGTTAATCACTTTATCTAGATAAGGCAATTTGCAAATGGTATATTAAATTGACGAACATCTAAATATTTAGGAAACCGAGGAGGAGGAGGTGGTGGTGGAGGTGATTGGGGAGGCCGTGGTGACTTCGGAAATAGTGGATTTGGAGGTGGATATGGAAGCTCTGGTAACTTTTTGAAGTTATTATAATGGGGGGCTGAAAAGTTTACACTATTGAATATAAACAATTTGATAAATATATATTCATTTTTAACAAAAAATCTTCTAGCAATAGTGTTTTATTTTCTTTAACTTTATAAAAGTGTGGTTTTTCTAGCTCTTAAAAATAAGCTTTTACAGTTTAATTTTCAGGTAGTGACAGCACTTGAATGATTATATGCATTATTCTGATGGAAAAATCACATTTTTATTCCAGATCATTTTTTAATTATATCTGACTCTTTAATTTATTTAAGTGTTGCATAATAATTTCCAGTTGTTTTACCTTTCTTGAGATAGTATATTAACAAGATACTTCTGCTGTCCAAAAGATACATAGCTGAAAAACCTTTTTATTTTTATTTTTATTTTTTGTATAGAATTTCTACATTTGTCCACAATTTTGACTGTTTGGGTTCTAGTGTTAGCAATTTGTATCAATGCAAACTGTTGCATTGATACAAATTTCTAGGGGAACAGTAGTTTGTTTTGCTTTATTGAAAATTTGTATTAACTGTTTTCAGAGTCATGGTTGTATAATTTAAGGCTTAATAGACTATTGGAACCTCTAGATTATATTTTGAATTAATTTACTAAACAAAGTTAAATAAAATTAAATTTATTTACAAAAATAAATTAAATGATGTGTGGCGACTAGTTGCCAACAAAAGAGTTCAGGTAGCACAATTGAATAGGAGTTCGTACTCTAGACGAGGAGTCGACAAAAAGACGAAGGCACGTGTTCGAATCGGTCTTTTAAAACCTCCGAACTCCCTCTGGTGGCGATCGGACGAAGTGCGAAATTGGTCGCCACAGATGTAACTGATTTAGAAAGGAAACAAAATGAGGAAGAGAGTGTATTTGTGTTTAACCTTTCCTATGTTGTTCCCAACATATCTTGGGATTGTCCGTGACTTCTGACCTCAACTGGTTGACTCAAAATATCTCATTTCAGCATCAGAACATTTTTGAAACTAGATGTTGCTAGTCATTATAATTTTTATATTAAAACTAAGTTTCGAAATATAACTTTTTTTTTTTGGTTGATACATTTATTATATATATATATATTTTGTTTGTGCAAAATAAAAAAAAAAATAATTTTGGACAATACAATAGCCACAATTATTCTTTACAAAAACGTGTAATTTTCGTTAGGCTTAACATCGACAAAAATTCAACATGGCATCACACACAAAGGAGAAAACTTTGAACATCCGATAGGTTAAAAGTGGAGCAGTATATCAGAGTGGTTAAACAAAACAAAGCTAAAAGAAAAGGATTTTTTTTTTTTAAGATTGTTTGAAAAAGTAGAAAATATGTTTTATGCCAAGAGTAAAAAAGGAATCAAGTTTTGCACAAAGTAGTCAAACCTGACGTCACTGTATGCACTCCTCAATATGCAAACCAGCATGTTTATGCAAGGGGGACCACATACATTTAAATGGGTGGGTGTCCTTAAACTTTAATTTTTATTTTTTAAGTACAGTAGAAAGGTCCACTAAAACCAGATGTTTGAATTACCCAGCAATTAGAGGGTGAATCCTTCTTTGCTTGATAGGAAATGAAAATCTATTCTACTCAAAATAGAACATTTATTACACTACCTCTTTGCTTTTTTTCTTTTTTTTTTTCAGTTGTGGCATGAATAATAAAATTGTTATTGGAAAAGGGTTATTTCTTGGGATTGTGAAGGTAATTCATAGTTTGGTTTAATGAATTTGATTAAAAAAAAATTTTTCTTTATTGCATGAAAATTAATGTGTGACAGTGGCATTTTGTTGGGGCAATGGAAAAATTCACTTTATTGGTGTTTGTTTTATGGAGATTCAACTGTATAATTAATTAATCCAAGTTTCATCAGGTATCATAGTGATGTAAGAAATCTGTTTGCTCTTTGTAAAGCAGTTACAGATTGTTCTCAGACATCTGACAGTGCATTTACTGTTTGTAAGCAAGTGCAGCTCTTATCTTGCAGTTAACTTGGTCATGTCCAATTCTTTCTGTAAAATATGGAGTACCTACCTGTTCTTCTGAAATGTCTAAAGCTTCTTCTGTTTCTGAATTTTTCAATTGCAAATCTTCTAGTCCTTGATCGACTATTTTGAGTGTTTTAACCATTTTTGAACATTCAGATTGTGGGTCATCTTTCCAGTTTTGTCTTCTGATTTAAAATCATTTTGTGATTTTCATACCATAGTACAGGAAGAACAAAGCTCACCAATGTAGCTTACATAACATTCATTATAAATTTCCATAAAGGGCAGCATGGTGTTCAATCTTCCTTTTTTCACAGTAGCAAGTAATGACTATTTAAACTGCTGTTAAATACAAATTATCCAGTAAATTAAAAATAATTTTCAGTTATGCAACAATCAATCAAATTCATAAACTTCCCTCCCACCTGTAATATGGTGTGAACTTATCACACCATAAATCCATTTCCATAAATTATTAAAAATTCAGTAATATAATTCTTTTGAAACACTGATTGAAATTAGTCAAATTTCTATTTTTGAAAGACTTATTTTTTGAACAATTTGGTTAACAAACAGATTTTTATGATCAACTCCATATCTTTCTTTTGTGAACTTCCTTTAACATAGGAAAAGTTTATGGCTTGACCAATCATTGACAGAACTGATTTAGAGGTTAGTGGTGCTGTGAACACCTCATGTCATTGCTATTTAAATTAGAATTCAATACGCATGTGGGAAAGATACTAATTTTTGTATTTCAGTACATACTGCAATTGATTTAATCAAATTAATTTAATTTAACAAATTAAATAACAAAGTTATTATTGAATATAATTTATTTATTTCTCATATGTATGCAATTGTTTAGCATTATGTTTGAAAACCAAGATTTGATTGTATTCATGCAGGAGTTTTTAAGAAAATATTAGCTAATATTTAATACTAGAAATTCTCCCGTCAAGCATGACAGAATATTTATGAGAAATTAGAGAATGAAGAATCGAGAAAAGTAGCAATTTCAAGAAATTCAAAATAGTTCCTAATGTTCATACAAATTAAGTAATTTGTACTTGAGCTTGACATTGTGATGCTGTTTCTGCAACCCTTGACAAAACCATTCTTACTCTATGATGCTCAAGTCTGACTTTACAGCCTTCAGGGGTCTCTGTTCTTATTCTTTTAGATTACAATTTACCTGACCAATTTTACTCTTACACTTTCCCCTAGGCTTTTTTACAAAATAGCAAGTCTAGTTCCATGTTGATAATTTAGTCCATAGATGATTTGTGTGTATGTATGTATGTATGTATGTATGCTAGATAGAGGAGCAATAACTTTCTAAGTAACGGGCTCATTAAATCATTACTTCCGATTGGATAATAGAATGTCACATGGCCACTATGCAAAGACTTTTTAAAAAAGTTTGTTGTAGAAGTGACATGATGCAACTATCATTTTTAAAGTTTAAATTTTAAATTTAATGAAGTAAAACACAGATTCCAGCTTTCATATTAGTGTGAACCGCCAGGGAGGTCGGGATCTGTCGACTCTCCCTGTACGGACAACAGGTCATTAAACCTGCTCACTGTCAGGATAGCTTGGTTTACGATAACGGTCCCTTTGGTTGGGACTCAAATGTTAGGCAAGTGGAGGGAGAGTATTTGGGGTTGACGATGAGGTGAAGGACATAACTGAGTAAAGGAGTCTACCATTTTAATAAGTAAAAATAAGAATTTATTGAAATAAGCAAAATAGAAAAAAAGACTACACAAATTTCGTTTCTAAGCCGCCTAACAGCTCGAGAGAGAGTGTACATGCTTTTTCATACCTCTTTGTATGCTTCCTAGGCGAGTAAGTCCACGTAGGCACTTAATTGTTCAATAAAAGGTGGTTTTAATCCAAATGAGCACAATTATAAAAAATTCGCAACGTCGGCGATGATCAGATAACGATGTTCGTAGATCGGAATGTCGGCAGGTTCGAAGAATCAGCACGATGCCGTCGATCCGGCTTTCGTTTAGAGAATCCCCTGAGAGGGGGTAAGAACTGTTTTTTATAGTTTTTTGTGAGGAATTTCCACCACATGATCGGATGTTCATGAGCTAAAGGTTATAGGTGTTCCAGGGACCTAAAACAAGTGGTGAATTTTGGATGCTAACTATAAACTTTTGTGCAAGACGAGCTGCAAGTTATGTAGAGAACAATAGATGTTGATAGTTATGACAGGAAGATTTGCACATTCCTGGCTAAGATCGATTTTTTTTTCTAATTCGTTACATAAATGAAAGTGAACTAATTACAATTTTTGTTAATAAATTCCGGATCTCACATTAGTAATACTGAAACTTTTCTCTATATACAGTAGACCCCCCCCCTATAACGCTTAGATACGTTCCACGTTAATCAAATTTTACGTTGTAGGAATCATTAAATACATGAGCCAATCGCAGCCCGACAGGTGTGAAGTTTACGGACTAAGGCTGTTTGAAAGGTTTTCTTCTATAAAATTAACCGATTCTAGACTAATTCCACTCAACATTTCCAAAACACGTATAATTTTTTGGGAATAATCCGTATAAACTATGCTATAAACAAAAAATTGTAGGATTACTTACCGAGTGTGCACCGTTCGACTACGCCGTTGCTCAAGCTTGTTTTCGTCGCGGAACAGCGCACGAAACGGCGGCCGCGATTTCTGATAACGAATTTTTCGCAGAAAAATAACTTGACCTTTGGAGACATCATTAATATAAATAATTTTTATGGCCGTTGAATAAGAAGTGTTTCTTTCACAAGAAATGTATAAAATTAGTGCTGTATTAGACTTACGGTACCTAATTTACATACTGTACAGACGATAATAAACTCAACTTACTAGCCTAAACTCTCCGTAGCGTGGCGCTAGACAGCAGAAATTATATATATAATTATAATAAAGTTACAATAAATTAAGTTAATATATAATTATATATACAGTACCTAATTTATATATAATGCTGTACAGACAATAGCAAACTCAATTTAGTCGCCTAAACTCCGTAGCATGGCGAAGGGCGGAGGAAAGTAGTTCGGCTGCTCGTCCACTATTGGTCCAGATTCTATCAATCTTGTCACAACACGAGTCGGCAGCGACATTTTAGGAGTTCCTTTATACGAATATTGCTACAATTTTTTCGCTACGTTATAGGAACCCACGTTATAGGGGGGTCGACTGTATACAAGAAAGACATCAGCTGTACACAAGGTGTTTAGTCAGAAGAAAAGAGGGTGAGGGGAAGGAGGAGGGAGCAGAGATAGACAGTAAAGAAAGGTAGGATCCCTCTGATTTGATGTTGACATGCAGTTTTTGGGCTGCAAGGCCATATTCCTCCAAAGGTTCTAAAACAAAACCGGAGTGTAGCTAGCGAACACCAATAATTTAGTGCTGCCCCAATAGCTAAGTGTAGAAGTTAGTGCCAAGTGGCTGTTAGTAGGAAGACTTACATCTGCTTCATATTAATAAAACTGAATGCAATCGCAAATCTTAATAATATATAACAGCTAGACAGACAGCACGAAAAGCATATGAACACAGTGACAAACTAGATGAGATGAACAGACCAACAGAGACAAATAAACAAGACCCCAAATTTTTTTATTTTTACGTTTACTTACACTCACTAACTAAACTAATCTACCATAACCTAGGATGAACCTAACCAGATGACTAAAGCTAACAAACTCTAATCTAATTTAACCTAACTGGAAACCAAGATAATTTTTCTTCTATAATGAAATGTAATTATTTTCATGTAAAATTAAATTTGATATATAGGAAATCCCAGTTTATTTGAACTCTGGTAGTTTAAAGTTAGTTTATAACTGTACTTTTGTCCTGGCCAGGGATATAGATTTACATGGTAAGGAATTCAGTAAGTTCAAAATACAGTTACTTCAAAATTTGAAGTGAAAATTCTGTCTGAAGTGTAATATGTTTATGTTAACTCATTCATTTAGATCAAAGTGCCTTTTTACTGTGTAGATTGTTTTTGCTGATGATATTTTATCAAACATCATCTAAAGCAGTGGGTCACATCTAGCAATTTCCAGCAGTGCAGGCAAATACAACAAGCACAAGTTGCATGTGTCTTATTGTGGTGACATTGTTTATTGGTGTTGCAACTCTGAAACATTTGTTTTTATAATAAACCAAAACCCACAATCAATGCTGAGCATTTTGCTTAACTCTCACCATATCTGTGCACTTTTTATCTTTTATTTGATAAAATGAAGAATCAAAATTTCACAGGCATTTGTAAGCCTGAATCAGTTCAATCAATCTTAATTCTAAAGCTGTATCAGTCTTCTCACTTTTTATCATGATAAATATTTTCAAAGTTGTTACATATGATGATTGATAATTGGATGCATATTTGCAATCAGCATAAGTAGTACAAATTTTTTGTTTTTAGTGTGGTCACACCTTGCAGGCACCTGCAAGGTGTGACCACAGTTCAAGTGATTATTTTTTTAAGCCTTGAAACACAGTAGGAGCATTGCCATAAATAAAATAAAATTTTAATATTAAACAAGACTGATCTTCATATTTGTAACAAATCAAAAAATTGTTTATCAGATAGAAAATGTAATATTTATGGTATAATTATGTTTGTTTTGTAAAGTTATGATTTTATTCTAATATATTTGTTTTAAGATATTAGTCTTTAGTTAGTGTTTGTGTGTGTGTATGATAAATAATAAATAGCAAAATTACTTATAGAGAAATTTAAACAGCATTTTTCATATTGTTTACATGTATATAGTTTGCTGAATGACATACTTTTATCATTGATTCTTCCTAATAGGATTTGGTGGTGGCTTTGGAAGCCAAGGTAATAGTAATTTTGGTGGTTTTCGAAATCAAGGAGGAAATAGCAGTAGTGGATATGGAAATCAATTCAGTTCAAGATTTGGTCAAGGTAAAACTTGGTTTTTTTAAAAAATTATACAGTAGTCCTTTACCTATGTAAAATCAGACATGTGATTGATATTCTAAACTTATTAGCAATGTTATCTGTTAATGTACATTGAATATATGAAATAGATGGAAAAACTTTGAGAAAATAGTTTGTTTTCTCAGTTTTTTCTTTAAATAAAGCTATTTTGTTTTAACCTCCTCTGAAACAAGTATTTTTAACTGTAAGCATCATGAAACTTTTATGGTTTATCAACTTAACATGGGAACAATTATAATATAATTTGTTACTAAATCAAAGACTTGCTACGTATGTATAATATACATAAGATAAACTATTGCTATTTAAAATAGACTGTAATAAAGTTATTACTGTTTAGTATAATATAATAAAAATAGAGATCATTATGTTTGAGTGTTTTAAAAGTCTATTTACTAAATTACAACACACCACACTGGGAAATACTTAATGATGCACACAGAACCAACATATATGCCTATAACTGGTGTGAAGAAAAACAAACAAAAAAGTATTTGAAGATTCATTCATTATGCACAGGACAACACATGTGCTGCTTTAAATTTTGGTTTAAATTTATATTTCTTTTTTTAAAAACCATTTTATATTCCAAAACAACATTCCATCTGCTAACTGTTATAGCACCTGAAGAACTCACGTTGGAAAATGTTTGTCTTGAGATACTTGTTTGTTTTTTGTTTTCTTCACATCGGTTATTTGTTCTGTGTGCATCATTAACTATTTTCTAATTTATGAAGTTATATCAATTTGTGATGATGACCAATTGAACTTTACAATTGAGGGGCTTAGTGAAAAAAAATAGCATATCTTGCAAAACTACAAAAAATAAGTTAACAAATTTGATTTGTGCATCATTGGTTAGTCTTCTAAAAAGCTTATGGCTCAATTACATGTTCCATGGGTAATTCCAAGTTAATAGAATATATATTAAAAGAACTGGTGTATTAAAACAAATATTTTTATTAATTAAACTTTGATACAGGTTACACCATTTTTCTACCAAGCAAGTCCCTTAGTGAAGACATTTTCTTACATTGAGTTTCTAGCTTATGTGAATGATAATTATGGTGATATTGTTTAGTAGCAAAATTGAATGTCAGGCAATTGATTGCAGCCCAGTGGTTCAAAACTTTTCCAGTTTATATCTCTCTTCAATAGAGGTAATAGTTTTACCGATATTAAAAGTTCACAAAATGAAAAGTTGTTTTTTATTAAATTACTCTGTCTGTCCAGATAAAGTAACTCAATTTTTAATCTAGTTGAAACTTTTTATACATATGTATTCCTGATGATACTTTTTTAGAAATTTGTGAAAAATTGAAATTTGTAAAAGAGATGGCATTACATGTAGGGGGAGCTATTGTCTCTTGTTTCATCATATTGTCTACATTTTTTCATCTACTTCCAATTAAATGCTAAAACAAAAGTGTGGTGTATTTATTAATAAGATCTAAAATTTCATGGCAGCTATTAATTTTTTTTTTAGTATATTGCAAGTTGCAAAATGCTGGTTTAATAAGTCATTTGATTTCTTGGAATTGATTGAGATCAATGTTGATGCTCATTGTCAAAATTTTTCTGCTAAGTGTACATCAGTCATTTTATACTCATATATATATATATATATATATATAGTATGCATCTATGAAAATATTTCTGCTTAAATTAGTTTTATTAATATTACTAGTAGTCATTCGTGTATAATACACTGGTGTTTAAAATTAAGAGAATTTGCATTTTGTTGATTTTAAGAAAAAGTAATGAACTGAAAATACAAATTATGTTGCTGAATAAGAATTCAAATTTTTTTGTGTTGAACATGTAAGCTTATATGTGTATGTGGGCAGAGCTTTGATGGTGGAGGGCATGAATAGCATATGTGATTCTGTCCATGATTAGTTTGCTTGTACTCCTCGGTGACATTTGCTATTTTTCTTGCAAGAGTTGGTTCAATTTCATAAGCAGTCAGGTAAAGCGAGTAGCCATGAATGTCTTGATGATGGAGTGAGGTGAAGAATTGTGGGTTGATTGGAGACAGGGCAATCAATCAACAAGTGCAGGTTGCTGCAGAACTCAATGTAATAACCAGTGTCGTCTTCAATTTATGGAAACGGTTTAGGACACCGGATCCATATCAAAAAGACCTGATCAAGGTTATCCAAGAGCCATGATGGCTAATGAAAATTGTTATTTAACACTTTCAGTGAGGTGTGCCACAGGACTGTTGCAGTTGTTATCTTGTGAGCTGCATGCTGACACTAGGATCAGTTTTAAGGGTTACTCAGAGTCTTTGAGGGGGCTTTTTGCCTGAAGACCCACTGTTTACGTTTTGCTCACTTCAGCACATGAGAGAATGCTTAGCATGGTGCAGGCATCAACCTTGGACCAGAATTCATTGGAGTACCATTCTCTTCAGATGAGTCGTGATTCAGTTTGGACACAGATTCTCAATACACCATCTGGAGAAAACCTGGGACCTGATTTCTTTTCTCCAATATATGAGAAAAGACCGCTACATCAGTAGAGGTGTCATGGTCTAGGCAGGTATCATATCGGACAGCCACATGCTTCTCCATTTGTTTGACTTTGGCTCCCTGACAGCTGAGAGGTATCGGGATGAGATCTTACAGCCATATGTTTGATTTTTCAGGGGTGCAGTTGTCCCTCAGTTTATTTTTTTATGGATGGCCTCATCTACATAGAGCCCCTGATTGATTATCTTGAAAGTGAGGATATTAGTCAGATGGATTGGCCAGCCAGATCTCCAGACATAAAACCCTATTGAACACATCTCGGACACTTTTGGGAGGGCAATTGCAGCTTGCAAATCCCCCTCTGAGAACCACCCAGAGCTGAAAATTGCATTGCTGTAGGAATGGGACAGGTTGTCTCGGACTCATCAGCTGCCTTGTTTCCCGTATGATGATGTGATGTGAGAGGGGACTGTACCCCCATAATTGTCATTTTATGTTTGATCTTGCTACATAGGTTTTGGACATTCCTGCACTGATGAGCCTTATTCACAATCATCGGTGCATACCAAGACTATTGTATAGTATACTTTTTTCTCTTATTCTACTGTGTATCCATGCCAAATTTCATTTGAAATGTGTATTAGTTTTTCAAAAATTTGATAAAATGTGTAAATTCTCTTAATTCTGAACACCAGTGTTTATGTTCAATAATGTTTTTTTGGGCTGCAATTTTGAAATTGCAGATCTATATAATTCCATGTTTGTTCTTTGTCAGTTTTGTTCGCAGAGTTATATATACAAAATAGAGGCCAGATAGGGAAATCTTAAAGGCCTATGCATTAATTCTATACTTAACTATATACAAACTTTAGATCTGGACTGGAACTTACATGATTTCAACTCAAAATTTTTACCTTATGTTAACAGAGTCAGATAGATGAAAATTGAGATCGAGTACAGAAAGCTTTTAACTATATACAATATAGTCGGAGTAGAAGTCTGTATGATTTTTTTAAAAATTTCTGCTCAACATCATAATGTCACAACAGATAATTGCTTGTTATAAGATGAAGTTTCTTTAACAAATATATTATTATTTTTAAGATGTGTAATGAGTAAACTTTAATGAATACATTCATCACAATTAGAGGCACAGTATATTGTTACTGGTAAAGTATTGATGCTCTTTCATAATAATAATAAAAGTTGATTGATAATTTTGTTTCAATACTTTTATTGACACAAATAATTCAGGAACAGTATCTAAATAACAATGTTAAATTTTGTTGGAAGTTCTTTTTAAAAAGATATGTTTTTATGGTTGAGAAAGTGTTTTACTAAAGTATATATGATCTTTCAAATTCACCAGAATAATAATTTTGATTCATATAAATAAATCTACAGTGGTACCTCAGGATACGAAATTAATCCGTTCCGAAACTGAGATCGTATCATGAAAATGTCGTAAGGTGAATCATTTTTCCCCCATACAATTACATGAAAAATCAAATAATTTGTTCCAACAGGAAAAACACACTCAAATTAAAGCTAAGTAGTACATTTAAAAAAATAAATAAATATAGTAAAGAAAACACTGAAAAATGCGTTTTGTAGTTGTAAATGTATAAATAACCATAATAGAATAATAATTGATAAAACAAAAAATGTAGTTTTATTTGCACTTTACTTTTGAGGAGAGACGACGGTGAAGATGTAAACTGGTGGTGGAGGAGAGGGAGAAGGGAAATGATACTAAAACTTAACTTACATAACATAATGTAACAATAACTTAAAAATAACTTAGAAAAGATTTTAAAAAATTAGTGTTGTTTTATATATTTATAGTTTTTAAAAATTTTTATTTACTG